ATTATAAGGGCAACCACTGGATAGTTTTCGAAATATTTATGATTTTCGAGAGTTTTATTATTGCCTTAATTACAGATTTATTTCGAATATCTATCAGGTGCCGTTGTAGCCTAATGGGGATACCCAAAAATTTCCACGCTGGTGGCAATTTTCGGATGTTGCCATTAGGCTACAGTGCCACTTGATAACTATCGATAACTATTTGGAAGAAATCTTTGGTTAAGAATAATATAAAGCTTTAACACGTTGAGTGCTACGTCAGTCCCTGGGGACTGACAGTAGACTTTTCGCTTTGGCAGCATGGATTCTGAAGACTGACAGCGAATTTTTCGTTTGATCGACATCGGTGCGTAAGTCCGGAATTAAAATTAGGGATTAAAAATTATTAATCCTTTTGCTTCAGTCTGCCGAAGCAAAGTAATGTTCTGTTCATAGGTCTCAGCATACATGAGTACTCGACATCAAGTGCTCACTCGCTGCCGCCTGAGCGAAAAGCATAGCAAAATCGGTGCCGCACTCATAAATATCTCAAAAACTATTGAGTAGTTTTGATATTGGAATCAAAAGTCCCGAAGGACTTGCACTCTCCTTGTTAGTAGATCCTCAAGCATTTCTCTACGCAACTCCCAACGTCATTAGAGTGTATGCATTAGTCCTCGAAGGGTTAAGTCTCTATTATCAATCTTGATCTAGAAACCTGGACACGAATTCCCCAGCAAAAGCACACGAAGTATCCAGAAAATGGCCTATCTACCTCATCTAAATGAATTACTCTATTCCAACTACTAGCTCCAATGGTACGTTTAACAGTAGCATTCCTGAAACGCCTCTGGTCCGCAGCATTTCAAGCTAGCTGAGCCAGATAAAACGGAAGATTACCAAAACGGGAAAGGAGAGAACGATGGTACGAGATGGATACAACGACAGAAGGTGTTCGAGCAGCAGTTGCAGGGGGTGTGTTCCAGGCTTCTGAGAAAAGCCTACGGAAAGGCCCGGCGTCGAAAGCTCGCAGGGTAGGGTACAGAGTAGGGTACAGGGTAGGGTACACGGACCCGTTTCGAAAGGTGATAGGGCCCCTGGTTCACGTGCCGTGCACATTCTGGCTGGCATTCGAGATGGAAAGATCTCGAGGGACGATCTCGGTGTCGCAAGACCGCTCGAGATCGTCTTCGTCCGAGGATTTTTTCCAGGGTACCCAGAGGTCCGTGGAACAAGGAGGGGTTGTGCGTGTGTTTCTTCGGCAGGAAGTCGATCCTTCGTCGATCCACACTTCACAAACCTCCGTCGTTCTTTCGTCATCCCCCACCCGGGCTCTCACCTTCGAAAACACGTCTCCGGACCACCCGCGTGTGTGAAAGTTTACAGCTAGCTGCTGGAGAATTTAGAGAGCCATTCGTGGAAAGGGTACACCACGGTTCTGACCGGCCGACGAAACTTCGTGTAGCTATGAAGCATTGTTCTAGATAAACTCTTCCGGACCACCTTCAGCCTGACGATATGGCTACGGAGCCCTCTGTTCTTCTCCGTCTCCGATATCTTTATGCGGAAACGTACAACGCGTTTATGCCAGCCTGTCGTCAGATAAGGGCGGGCGAAGTAGCTGGTCAAGAGAATTGGTAGGATAGACCTAGGAATATATAGGATAAGACACGCTTTCTACGGACTTTCTTCGTTTTCCATACACCAGGTGTGGGTGGCTTTTACTGGATTGCAGATTTATTTAGATTTTAGGGAAATTAGGAAGACTTTTTGGTGTTCTTTGACGAAGAATGCTACTCTCTGAAGAGCCTCTGGTTATTATTGATAAAATTGCAGTGTATAGTCATTTTAGGGAAATTAAGAAGTAGATGTTCTTTAACGAGGAATGCTACTCTTTGAAAAGCCTCTATTTAGTATTGATAAAATTGTAGTATGTAGTCCTTTTAAGGAAATTATGAAGACGTGGATGTTCTTTGACGAGGAATGCTACTCTTTGAAGAGCCTCTGGTTAGTGTTGATAAAATTGCAGTGTGTAGTCAATAATTTTAGGGAAATTAGGAAGACGTGGATGTTCTTTGACGAAGAATGCTACTCTCTGAAGAGCCTCTGGTTATTATTGATAAAATTGCAGTGTGTAGTCATTTTAGGGAAATTAGGAAGTAGATGTTCTTTGACGAGGATTGCTACTCTTTGAAAAGCCTCTATTTAGTATTGATAAAATTGTAGTATGTAGTCATTTTAAGGAAATTATGAAGACGTGGATGTTCTTTGACGAGGAATGCTACTTTCTGAAGAACCTCTATTTAGTATTGATAAAATTGTAGTGTGCAGTCATTTTAGGGAAATTAGGAAGACTTTTTGGTGTTCTTTGACGAAGAATGCTACTCTCTGAAGAGCCTCTGGTTATTATTGATAAAATTGCAGTGTATAGTCATTTTAGGGAAATTAAGAAGTAGATGTTCTTTGACGAGGAATGCTACTCTTTGAAAAGCCTCTATTTAGTATTGATAAAATTGTAGTATGTAGTCATTTTAAGGAAATTATGAAGACGTGGATGTTCTTTGACGAGGAATGCTACTCTTTGAAGAGCCTCTGGTTAGTGTTGATAAAATTGCAGTGTGTAGTCAATAATTTTAGGGAAATTAGGAAGACGTGGATGTTCTTTGACGAAGAATGCTATTCTCTGAAGAGCCTTTGGTTATTATTGATAAAATTGCAGTGTGTAGTCATTTTAGGGAAATTAGGAAGTAGATGTTCTTTGACGAGGAATGCTACTCTTTGAAAAGCCTCTATTTAGTATTGATAAAATTGTAGTATGTAGTCATTTTAAGGAAATTATGAAGACGTGGATGTTCTTTGACGAGGAATGCTACTCTTTGAAGAGCCTCTGGTTAGTGTTGATAAAATTGCAGTGTGTAGTCAATAATTTTAGGGAAATTAGGAAGACGTGGATGTTCTTTGACGAAGAATGCTACTCTCTGAAGAGCCTCTGGTTATTATTGATAAAATTGCAGTGTGTAGTCATTTTAGGGAAATTAGGAAGTAGATGTTCTTTGACGAGGAATGCTACTCTTTGAAAAGCCTCTATTTAGTATTGATAAAATTGTAGTATGTAGTCATTTTAAGGAAATTATGAAGACGTGGATGTTCTTTGACGAGGAATGCTACTCTTCGAAGAGCCTCTGGTTAGTGTTGATAAAATTGCAGTGTGTAGTCAATAATTTTAGAGAAATTAGCAAGACGTGGATGTTCTTTGACGAGGAATGCTATTCTTTGAAGACCCTTTATTATTTATTCCTGATAAAATTGCAGTGTATAGTTACGAAAATGTTCTGATTTTTGTTAAATTCGATACAGTGGGATTTATTAAAATATGGGCAAAGATGCATAGCGAGGTTTTAGTGAGGATAATCCTAGTTGGATCTTAGACTGTACAACATACGACAGAACAGTGAAAGATGGTTGATTTGAGGATTAATTTTCAGAAATCTAACATAGAAATGAAAAGATCAGACTTGCTTAGTCTACGTGCACAGTTTGATAAAACTTAATAGTTTGAATAAAGTAATGGTGTTTCATTTTACTTGCATAAATAAGGAACGAATAACTTCGTTTTCTGGAGTTTCCACAAAATAGAAACATATTTTTAAATATAGTATAACACTAAACCTACTATTTGTTTCGTTATTTCATTTTTTGAAGCTTCTATTTCTTTTTCATTCACCGATTATTTAACCATTTTAGATAGATTTAATATCAACACTATCAGTATCAAAAGAAACTAACATAGCCTTTAAAATTAGCTGACGAATTATCCCACAAATATCAACAATTTTTCACAAAATAATTTTACCAACCTACAACACGAAAACAAATTAAAGATCACAAATTTCAATTTCTAAATCAACAAAAACGTATCAAAAATCTACGCAATTTGTATAACATTTCTACCTCACAACACCAAGCTGTTACCTAAGATTTTCAACCAATTGCGGATGCCAATCAATTTCCTTTCACATTGCCTATCCTCTCCCGATTCTATTAGAACATATACAAGACTATCCGACGCGCTCGAAAATCATAGAAAATCGACGAGCAGCAATTTAGGTAGATTTTCAATACAGCGAACACGGACGTCGTTTTTCGTTGATTACATATCGCGTAATAGCCGATAGAAAGTAACAGATAGAAGAAAATTTGCGCGGAGCGCGATTACCACGTCTCGGAGGTGGCCGAAACGAGGGCTCACGGGGTAGCGTGCGATCGCGCTATTATCTACGTCTAGTTAGCGTAACCGGCCTCCGCGGAGACAGCGATGCCCGTATAACCCGCAGAGAGCGTGTATCTCATCGATCAGATGGCTCGCGATAGGAAAAGCACGCGCGACTCCAACGCCGACTCAAGAAACGCCGGACCAGTGCGCGAGACTTACTACTCACCCTTATTTCCCCTTTTCCGCTGATTCCGGGGTTACCCGATAACCCACGCGTCGACGTACGTCGATACGTCCCTGGAGAACGTTGATAACGATTGTATAGGATATATGTTTTGATATCCGATGATAATGGTTTTGGTTCCGATGTTAAGCGGTATTTTTAATAGTTAATAGTTTTGAAAATACGAATTGAGTATATGGACCGTGGGTATAGAGACGTGGGTCGTTAAAATGTTGGAGGAACATGAAAGAGAAATTTGGAATTTCTTTTTATAGCTTGTTGTCCGTGAGGCTGTTTTCGGCTACGAAAACAACGAAAGGTGACTGTGGCTATAGTCTACATTTTCCGTTTCTATTTTAACTACGTGAAAGATGTTAGGGGATACGTAATGAACGCCTGAGGAGCGTTTGGGAAATGGAGGAATTAAGCAGAGAAACGAATGTAGAATAGTTTTGTTTTTGAAAATTTAAAGATAATTCTAATGGACACGATAATTTCTACTGTTTCGTAATATGACCTCGGATTCCTTACACAAGAGCGTTGTGTAAGGATAGGTATAGAAAATTGTGAGTTCGATTGACTTACCTTCTCGAGCTGATCCAACGCTATCGCTGCATCGGTCCAACTTGGCCTGATGTAAAGATCCGACTCGTGTCGTTGCTTCGCGTTCTCGACCGCTTTGATATTCTTCTCGCTGTGACTTTTCGTGACACTTCCATTCTGTGAGGACTGCGAGCCTTGAAGGCACTGAGAACCAGAAGGGCGTCCCGCTAGGATCCCTGTTGGGCCGGACGCAGAAACCATGATCCGTCATACATTCGCCCCGGCACAATTCGCAGTATGATTATTTTTAATATTTCTCCCCTCCAACGTGACGTTTCTTTTCGGTCCACTTCTCCACGCTCTTTTTCCCCTCTCGATTTACTCGTAACGTTACGGCGACACGGGTTTTGAAAACGAAACACGAACAAGACACGAACAGGAATGGAAAAAAAAGAAAAAGAAAAAAGAAAAGATTTCACTCTGCACACTTGTTACCGCAGGTATGCACGTAATTTTCGCACGAACCTCTCTAGAAAACACTTGTCACAGCACACGTTCAGTCGGTCTTTCTTGTTTACCGCGCAATTCGTCGACGCCGTATACGTGCGACGAGCACGGCAATCGAAATTCGCGCACGAGGTACACACAATTTCTTCTGCGCATGCGCGACTGTATCGTGCCCATCGATGGTATACGCACAAAACGGACCGAGAATCGGTTTTTAGGTTAGCTTCGTACCACCGTAGAAGAGTAAATACGTGACTGCTCCCTCTTCGCCGATTCGTCTCTTCTTTCTGTCTCTTT